CCCTGCCCTGCTGCCTTAGGCCGGGCTCAGCCGTTCCCGAAGCTCCTGATCCCTGCCCTGCTGCCTTAGGCCGGGCTCAGCCGTGCCTGGGTTCCTGATCCCTGCCCAGCCGCCTTAGGCCGGCTCAGCCATCCCCGGAGCTCCTGAGCCCTGCCCAGCTGCCTTAGGCCGGGCTCAGCCGTCCCCGGGCGGTCCCGCTCAGCGCCAGGTTAAGCGCGGCTCAGTAAAGGTGACTCCGCCTCCCCCGAGTCGTTTAGAAGTGACTTATGGAGCTAATAATGGCCTCATCCCTTTGTACCTTGGTACACAGCTTGTGTTCTGAAGGCTTTTATGGCTCAAATGAGCTGCTCTTGCTTATTTATTTCCCTCCTCATTCATTTTTAATGGTTAGCAGAGACTCCCCCATTCTTCTCCTGACAGCAGTGATTTAGGCAGGGCTCATTATCATAACTTACGTTACTAAATATCCCCATTTGTGCTGGTAGACCAAGGAAAATGTGTGCAGTGCTAAATCAGAAGAGATCCCATGAGCCTGGCACGGTGGCAGGGCTGTGTTTGAAGTGTGTGTTGTATACAGAGAGCCCTCGAGGGGAAAGGATCATTTACAGGAACATGGATGGGGACAGAGTCATCCCCAAATACAGATTTTTATGGGGAAATACCAGAGGTTTACCTTCCCAACCGGCCACCCTTGAGATGCACAGACCTAAACTGCTCAAGATACATTTTATTTTCAAAGACTTATTAGCTGTGACTTCATAAGAGTTCCAACAGAATTACTGTAGCAGGAAAGCAGTCTCCTGTGAGGGCTTTACTGTTACCCCATGGGAATTTAATAATGCTAATGAGGTGGGGAAAGACTGTTCCAGTTATTTGTGAGAGCTAGCAGTGAAGTTCTGGGTTCCTCTTCTGGGACTCATGATGTACATTCCCCTTTCCCTCCCTCCCATTAGAGCTTTGGATTCTGTTCAGCCAAAAGCTGCCACAGAGTTTATGGGACCAAAGGAATATCAGCCACAAATTCAGATCTCCCACAGCCAGCCTGCACACAGTGGGAATGGGAAAAGCAGTAAAATGCTTTTGGGAAAGGGATGGGAGCAATGCTCACTGGAGAACGGGATGCAGGAGGTCGGTGTGACAGGGACTGTGGGATTTGTGGGGGGCCTTATTGCTGCTTCCCACGTTTTCCCCAGGCTGGTGAAGTCCTGCTGCAGGGCTTCCAAGAGTTTAGTGTTTTATTCCACAGATAATGTGAACTGAAAGAGGAGAAATTAATAGAAACCAATTTCTGTGTTTGGGATCACACCCCAAGAGCGTACAGAGGTGGGCAGTTTCAGAGATGCTCCCTTTGCAAACTGCACAAACAGGCTTTTCAGGTAAATGTAAAGCAGTGCCTTGGGGCAGCAGTGCCCTCGTGGTGTTTGTCAGGGCAGCAGGGGCACTGCAGCATCCCCTGCAGAGCTGCAGCGCTGCCAGCTGGGCTCTGGGCTCACTCTGGGTACCCAGAGGGCACAGCTGCACTTGGGGCTGGGCACTGCCAGTCTGCAGCAGGGACTGCAGGGACAGCAGGGTCACTGCAGGCTCTTCCCTTGGCTTTGGGCCTGAGTTCAGAGCAGTGCTGAGCACCTGGAGCACTGTGTGTGTCTGCTCTGGACACGGGCCATATGGCAGTGTCACTGCAGCTCTGTGCTGGGCTGGCAGTGTGGGACAGGCCATATGGCAGTGTCACTGCAGCTCTGTGCTGGGCTGGCAGTGTGGGACAGGCCATATGGCAGTGTCACTGCAGCTTGTGCTGGGCTGGCAGTGTGGGACAGACACACCTCTGCCCCGGAGATCAGATCTGTGTCACTCACAGGAAGCTGCCCTAGCTGTTCACTGGTAGAAGAAAAAGAGGGGGACCTGCAGGAGCCAAAAGAAGCCCAAAGCACTTTTATAACCTGCCCGCTTCGTGCCCACAAAAGCCATTCAAAGCTCAGTCCCTTGAGAGATAAAAGCCCCCTGTACTGAGAGAATTTCTGGAGCATCTTGTGAACGCTAAGTACAGTCTCCCTTAATTAATGGAAGTCAGCTCGGTGCAGGTGTGTGAGAAGCTCCAGTGACACAAAGCCTAGAAAAGCTTCAGCGAGGGAGCACAGCACCAGAAGGGTTTAATGGCATTATAATGTCCTTGAATCACAGTGGCCACAACACAGGGATGTATTCCAGCAGTACATTAGCAGGAAAAGAAAATCTGCTCTTTCTCTCTTGAGCCCCTGTCACCTTTCCTGAAAGCTGGAGCTGGCATCTCTGGGGTATCAGAACTCAAAGGCAGGAGGAGGGGAAGTGAGAGATGGGGGAGTCCCTGGATTTTGGGAAGGAAACAGATGGGCTGTCCCCACAAATCACCCACCTTTCCCCCATGCCTTTGTAGCTCTGCTGCGTTTCCAAAGTGCTCAGTGCCTTTCTGGCATGGCTGTGCGTGCCCAGGCTGCTGGAGCCCTGCTGTGCCCCCAGAGCTGATCTGGGCCAGGGCAGAGCTGCCGGGGCACTCCTGGCACCAGGGCACCTGCAGGCCACCCCTGCTGTGCCCCCAGAGCTGATCTGGGCCAGGGCAGAGCTGCCGGGGCACTCCTGGCACTGCAGGGCTGCCCTGGTGTGTTCTGGCCTGGTTTGGCGCTCAGCCCTGTGCTGAGGCCAGGGGCAGGGCAGGCCTGGGGGCACTCCATGCCCACTTGGGTGAGTTTATGAAAGGAAAGGAGCTGGGATCCAGGCTGAGGGTCTGGGATCTGTGCCAGGCTGGAAAGGGAAAGGTGGGCTCAGGAGGGGCCATGGCAGCCAGAGCTTCTCTGGGCTCTTCCCATCAGCACCAGCTGGGGAAGCCATGGGAGAGACCCTGGGGCACAGCCAGGGCACAGCCCCCAGGGCCAGCTGTGGGACAGCCCCCAGGGCCAGGGCACACCCAGGGGACATGCAGGGCACCCAGGGGACATGCAGGACCCAGCAGCTCCCACGGCAGTTCAGAAGCTCAGCTCTGATCTCTGGGCTGCCCTCAGGCTCTGGGAAGTGTTCCAGTCCTTAAGTGCCTCAGGGCTGCAGTCCCAGGGCTATCACGCTTAATTGCCTTGCGTTAATTAGCTAAGACTGGCCTGTGTGAGGAAGCAGAGGTGGCAGGGAGGTCACAGAGCTGTTAGCCAGCCAGGAAAGCCCTGGCATTCCCCTGCAGAGCTCAGGAGCCCAGGGCCAGCGGCTCCTCGGTGCCCCTGGGGCCACCCTGCCTTCGTCCTGGGCTCTTCCCTCCCGGGGGAAGTCAGCACTTGGAGCCTCTGCTGCTCCCTTCTCACTGGTGTCTCCGGGGAGGGACGGGAGGCAGGATGCAGCAGCCAGAGCTCGTTAGCACATGGGAGCCTTGGCTGGTGTGAGAACAGCGCTTAGAACACAAAAACACAACGGGGACAAGCACAGAGCCAGCAGGCAGCAGTTGGGAGAGGGAGCAGATGTGCAGCACTGCCTGCAGCTCTTCTCACCTGCTGCCTGTTGCACAGGCCAGCAGACACTGCAGCTGGGCTGCTTCTGGCCCTGAACAGCCCTGTGACAGCGTGTCTGCCCTGCTGCTGCTCCCAGGCCTTTGCCAAGGCTCTCTCCCTCAGCTCAGGCAGCTGGGGTCAGCACTGGAGGGAGGGGATGTGACACCAGTGACACCAGTGCCCTGGGACCTGTCTGTGCCCAGCTGCCTGCTCTGAGCTCTGAGCAGCACGCTGGGGCTGCATCCTGACAGCAGCTGTTAGGAGCTGGTGTAAAACAGGCTCACCTGAGACACAAACCCCATCAATCTGCCTGTAAACAAACAGCAGCTCAAGAGTTTGACCTTAAAACAGACGTGGCTTGGAAGGGAGACATCGCAAGAGCCATGATAACCTTTTTTTGGTGTGTCACCTGGGCTCAGGCAAGGCAGGATGGAAATGCATTTGCCATGGATCTGTCTGTGAGGGGCTGTTGTTGTCTAAAGATAATAATGTTAGGAATGCCAATTATCCTACAAAAGCTGGTGATATTTAAATATGATTTAAATTCATTCAGCATTTAAATAGAAAAGTAGAAAATGGCATTAAATTCAGAGACAAGGACGAGACTATACATTGCAGAGTGAGAAGTATTAAATGCATTGATGGAATGGAATAGAAGGTCTGGCTGGTAATGGATTGTGAAAAGAGCTCAGGGTTCTAATAGATCATTCCTTCAGATCATCAGCACGGTAAAGTGGTAGTTAATAAATTATTTGACGTGTACATTTACTCATATATTTTAACTAACTGTAATGAACAGGTCCTGTCAGCTCACCTAGATCCTTGCAGTAGCTGCTAAATTGCTTGAGTGAGATTTACTAACTCTCTGCAATATTGATGTCCAGAGCTGCAGCTGATAAATGAAGGGACATCAGGGCTGGCTCCTGTTCCAGGGCTCTGCCAGGCTGGCAGCAGGGCTGAAGCTGTGCCCTGCCAGCCCTGAGCCCTTCCCTGGGAGGAGTTTTGGTCGTGAGCCCCCCATTCATTCCCTGCTGCCTGTGACAGGACTCTGTCCCTCCCAGTTGTGTCTGCAGCACTCACCTGCTCCTCCCCAGCTGAGGCAGGCTCTGTGGGCTCTCAGGGGAGAGGAGAGCAGGAGGACTGGGGGGTCTGAGCTGGGGGCAGAGGAGAGGAGCCTTCTCTCCCTGCCACAATCCAAGGTCTATCCTACTGCTGGAATGGGAATTAAGGACCAAAAACAGGCTGTGCCCTTATCTTAGATGATACTAGAACTGTTTAGAGCAGGAAAATCCTGCCTCTTAAAATGGTGCTGAATTACACAGGCTGTTAAGGGCACACCAGGCACCTTTCTTGTTATTCCATGTTGTCCTCTGAACCTGGAGCTAGTTTAAACCTAGATCCCTTCTCTTCCTCCCACTCACTTACCCAGCATGTGGTGAACTTTATAATTAGTAAAGAGACTCATTAATTTTTTTTCCTTCTCCTTTTTATTTTCAGGTTTCTGACAGATGTGACTATGTCTTTGTCAACGGGAAGGAAATGAAAGGCAAAGTGAACGTCGTAGTTAATTTCACTTACCAGCATCTGAGTGCCCCTTTAGAAATGACAGTGTGGATTCCTCGTCTCCCGCTGCAGATAGAGGTCTCTGACACAGAACTAAATCAGATCAAGGGGTGGAGAGTCCCCATCATCTCTAATAAGAGGTAGGTTTCGTTAGAGGATGTTCATTCTGGGCTGTGCACTTGCCAGGGACCTGTCAGGGCCAGTGGATCTGAACATGCTCATTTGGCCTTAATGCAATTCTGCTGTAAATTTGAAGGTCATCAGACATTTATTCAATAGGCTCCTGCACTGGACTTTTAAGGGAAATGGAAGCTGCAGGTAGCATGAACCTGGAATGGAAATCAATTTCCTTTTGTAGCACTAATGACTGAGACGGGAAGAGCCAATTGGTCAGGTTAGGCAGCAAGGAGACACCAGCAAGAGCCAGCTCTGGCAGGGCTGGTCGGTCTCCAGCCTGTTCACAGGTCCTGGCAGCTCCCAGGTCCACTGTCAGTGGTCACAATTAGCACAGAGCTGTTTCACACCCCTGTGGGGTGCAGTGGCACTGCTGAGTGCCCCACAGTCAGGACACAGAGCTCGCAGGCACTGTCAGTGCCCACAGGACAGAGGATGGATGAAGCAGGTCAGAGCTGTCTGCATCTCTTGTCAGTGGTAGTAAGAACAAGAGGAAAAAGTTGATAAAGGAGGTCCTTGGTATTCCCAACTGCAAATGAAGCCATAAATGAACCTGTATTTATTACAGGTTTCTGTTAGCACCAGAGCAAAGACATTTTGGTGGAGATGTGTTTTCAAATCGTACTGTAGAGAGAGGGATGTGTGTGTAGATGCAGAGATTTCCATGGCAACACAAAGATGTTTATGGGAAGATCCAGAAAGGAAAGAAGTGTGAAGGTCCTGAAAACAAGGACTTGACGTGGAAAACAATGGAAGAAGCTTGGGAAGGATGGCATGGTGGCAAAGCTGGGAGGGCAGTTGATGGTCTCAAGTGCTGGTTTTGAGTCATGAATACAGGAAACAGGGTAAAAGCAGGAGAAGCTGAAGGAAGCAGCTGGTCCCGGAGCAGGCTGCGGGCTGAGGCCAGCAGCAGCTCCCCAGCACAGCTGACCCTGTCCCCATTGCTGTCCACAGGCCAGCCAGGGACAGCGATGACGAGGACGAGGACGAGCGGCGGGGCAGGGGCTGCACCCTGCAGTACCAGCACGCCATGGTCAGGGTGCTGACACAGTTTGTGGCCGAGCCCCCCGAGCCCGGGGCCCAGCTCAGCTTCCTGCTGGGCTCGGACTGGCAGCTGGACATCACCCACCTGGTCAGGGACTTCATGCAGGTGGAGGAGCCCAGGATCGCCCGGCTGCACGATGGGCAGGTGCTGGTTGGGCTGGAGCTGGGCATGACCACAATTCAGGTAGGAGATCACTGATCTGTTCTGTTCCTCCAACTCTCCTGGTGATCCAGCATTAGGGAGATCACTGATCTGTTCTGTTCCCCCAGTTCCCCTCCCGGGCCGTGGGCGATCCAGCATTAATGACAAAAACTGGAGCCATGCACTCCTGAATGGAACAGAATTGGAGCAAGAACTAGAAGGCATGGCAGAGATGGTTTTCTCTCCTTATCTGGTGCCCCAAAGTGTAGCAGATCACAGTTTCATTTAATTTAATCCAACTTGTATATTGGGAGGCTTTTTCTGATTATTTTTGCCTAAGGCTGCTTGTGAACCTGGAGCCAGGATTTGGGTTATCACAAGGCATGCAGCTGCTGGAACAGCTCAGTCTTCTCCCAGCCTGCACTGACAGAGCAAAGGGTAAAGGGAAAATTAACCAGTGGGGGTTAAGGAAGTGAGACTGGAATATTAATAATTAGAAATTAATTTAAAAGAAAAGGACAAGGAGATGGGGAGAGAGATTATTTCAGTGATAGTGAAGTAGAATACGTGCTAACAAACACTAGGACAGGGAAAAAAATCTCTCTCCAAACATGCTTATCCTCCCAAACTGTCAAAGCAGAAAACAACCAGCACACCTGTCGATAATGAGGTTGTCAAGGCTGGAGAAATGAGAAATGAGATTTGAGATTTTTGACTTTCTGCAAAATCTGCAGAGATTTTCTGAAGGCCTTTCTAAAGCTCTGGAACTTACAGTGCTCCAACCAATGCACGTAAAACTGTGGAAAGAAAAATCCAAGGGTAAAAAGCTGAGAGCAAGTTATATTTAAAGAATACCTCCTATAAACTGCTTCAAAAATGCTCTGTACCCTGTATGGATCATTAAATTCAACTCGCTTGCTAATGAGCATCGTGGATGTCATGTATCACTGCACTGACCTCTGTGTGTATTTTCTTAACCAAAACAAATTCTCTCTGTCAATTTTGCATTCAGTACCATGAGAGGTTGTTGTAGCAATACATTACCCCTCCTTTCCACAGGACAGAAATAAATACCATTTATTCAGTGGATTTTATATAAATCTACAGACCTCATTATACTTATGCTACCTCAGAACATGAGGATTAATCAAATACTTCAATTTCACATGAAGATTACATTTACAGCTAGTTACTCCATGTGAGGCAGATGTGGTTATTGCATTTACAGACAGTTACCACATCTGAGGCAGATGTTGGCACATTGCAGAGTGCAGTGGCACAGCTGATTCCATTTGCACTGGTAAAAGGTGTTATAAGGCCCCTGTTATTGCAGAAGAGTTACAAAATGTGAGTAGCCCTTTCTAATCATATTTGAATAGTGTCTGCTGTGAGAAATTGCTCCCATTGCCATAAACATCCCTTATCTGTGTTACATGAGTTCAGTGCAGATTTTTAACGTGGTGCTGTACAAAATGGCTGTTGGTAACTTCAGTTTTTCTTTGCAGATCCTGTCCCCCCTTTCAGATGCCATCTTGGCTGAGAAGACAGTGACAGTCCTGGACGAGAAGGTGACAATAACTGACCTGGGAGTGCAGCTGGTGACAGGACTGTCCCTCTCTCTGCAGCTCAGCCCGGGGAGCAACAGGGCCATCTTTGCTACGGCAGTAGCACAGGAGCTGCTCCAGTCCCCAAAGCAGGTATGTGCCCAGCTGGGCTGTGTGAAGGAGCTGCTCTCAGGCACTGCCTCTGGCATGTCCAGCTGCTGGAATTGAGCAGGTTTTTACTGACAGTGTGCTAATGAAACATTCTGTTCATGGGACTTTCCTGAAGGCCACCAAGGGTCCTAGACAGCAAAACAAAGATCTCACAAAAAGGGCACTGTGTTTTAACAGCCCCTGGCAGCAAACACCCCTCCTGTCATGGCTGATCCATAGATAACAGGCAGTGATGTGTCAGAGCTGAGCACCAGCAGTGCCCTTGCACACACACACACACACACATGTGCCTTTTCTGTCCCATCCAGCACCCTCTAGATCCCAGGAATCCTGCCATGTTCAACTTCCCACCACAGGTATCCAAATCATCCCTTTAATTCCACCTCTCCATGAGAAAGTGCCTCGTGTTGTGCCAAACTCTTCTTCCTTTAGTCACTTCCTGTGACACTTTAAGAAGCCAGGGAGCATCCCTTTATTCTGATTCATTACTAGAATATGAATCAGCATCACTGACTCATTTCCTGATTCATGATTTCATAAACCATTTTTTCCCCCTTATTACTCTTAGTTCCTTTATTAGGGAACCAACAGTTACCAAGGGCTTTTGGACTCTGCCATGTCCTCATCGCTCCCTGCTTGGTATTTGTCCTTGTGCTTCTGTACACATTTGAAATGTAAACTTTTTTTCCAAACCAAATCCATCAGTCTGGGACTTTCATCAAGGATACACTGGGCTCTTAACACCTAAGCATGTTCTGAGCTTTAAAGGTAACTGGCATGCACATTTGAAGTTTGGCCAATGCTGAGGTGCTTTAATTCATCATGGGGTCTGATCCTTGGGATGCAGGATGAGAAATAATGCAGAGCTGCTGTCTTTATAGGGTGATGAAAATCAGGCTCCTGTGTAGAGTTCCAGGAGTCGAGGAGTCGATGCCAGGCATTGAGGGAAGGCCAGTGAGCTCATCCATGGCACGGGGGGCTGGACAAAGTGCCCTCAGACCAGCCCAGGGCAGGGTTGTGCCAGTCAGCCCCACTGGGTGCCCAGCTCGGGCATTTCAGTGCCCAGAAATGGAGTCTGGACAGGGATCCACATAAACCAGAGAGGAAACTGTGTGCCCCCCAGTCTGGCAGGGCTGCCTCTGCTTTGAAAGGCAGCTGAGTCCCTCCACTGCTCAGGACAGGATTTTCAGAGCACAGTCCCTATAGGCAAAGCAATGCAAAATTATTACATGATTATGCAGGTTTAAGCAGCACAGTGGGAGGATGAGAGTTGATGACATAAATTCTATGCAGCCTTCAAGAAACAGCCAAAGATTAATAAACACAAAGCTGGGATTTATGACAGTGTCAGCAAAGTCTTAGGGCTCTGGCCTGAAATAGAGACAGAAGCAAATCTCCCATTGAAGCAGGGGGAGCTTTGTGGCTCTGAGGATTTCGGAATCAGGCCAGTAGATTGCACACCCTACAATCCCAAAAGACTGGGAGCTTATTCTCCATGCTCTGAACAGGTGAATGACTTTGTGCTATGAGCAATTTAAGGGATAATGTGTTTATTCTCTGTATATATGTGGAGTTAGAATGTAAATACTGTCTGTATGAAAAACTGCTTTTTTAAAGAAACAGGACTTTTATATTCACGGTTTTCTCAAGTTGATTTGTTGGTTGGGTGTCTGTCTGTCTGTCTGTCAGACTCTCAGAGCAAGGTGATCCCAACTCTGACCACACAAAAGCTCATTTCAGACAGCAGAGAATGCACTGATGGAGCCAGGTCTGTCTGCTGGGGATTCTCCAGTGCAGATATCCCAACCAGGGCAACTCAGACCATCAGAAGCAGGAATGAGATTCCAGGAGAGCAGCCTGAATTTTATCTGTAAATGATCAATGTATGAATACAAAGATGTTTTTCAGGTGGCATAGCAATTTTCAATAGCCATTTGAGAGTCCTTATAGGACCTGATTTTCAGAAATGGGTGAGCACATGTTTTCTGAAATTTAAAAATACTTTTAAATGTTTCAAGTTAGAAGCCAAGTCAAGGATCCCAGGAAAGCTGCAGCATGAGGCATGTTCTTAGCACCCAGGTCGGATTCATTGGCATTCAGTGAAAGCCTCCATGCACACTGGAGTACACAATCTGCATTGCTGTGACACGAGATTAAACTTTATTATTGTCTTGCTTTTAATTGCTAACAAGCGTAAAAATTATCCTGGCTGTTTCCTAAAGAAGCAACTGATTGGTTTCCTCTGCTTATACAATCTGCTAATTTAATTTGAGAGCCAGGAATCAAGGAGTGAAGGTATGGAGTCATGTGTGGACCTGTTTGCTGTATTAGCTATCTTTAACATGTGCTTTGTGTAATAAGAGGAGACTTTGTATTTTAAGCAGTTTAGAAATAATGTTGGGGTTTTTTAATGTAAATATACAACAGTAAATGATCTCAGTCACTGGTAATGCTTCCTGACATGCAATTTATTATGGTGCTGAAGTAGATTCTGCAGAGCCCAGGGGATACAGCTCCTTTAAGCACCTTTGTGGAAACCAATCTTATTATCAACGAGTGTTTTAGACCAATATTTCTCTTCACGCCTTGGCAAGATATTAATTTCACTGCTCTCCCTATTTATTTCTTTTCTGATCACTACTGGTGTGTGGATCTTGTGAGGAGGAGGCAACAGCCCAGAACAGAGCACACTTCCCTCAGTGATCACTCTGAGTGGGTCTGTATTTGTTTTATATATTACAGGAAGCAGCCATCAGCTGCTGGATCCAGTTCAGTGATGGATCTGTCATGCCCCTGGATATTTATGACTCCAAAGACTTCTCCTTGTCAGCCACCTCTCTGGATGAGAAGGTGGTCTCCATCCACCATGACCCCAAATTCAAGTGGCCTGTGATTGCTGCTGAGACCGAGGGCCAGGGCACCCTGGTGAAGGTGGAGATGGTGATCAGTGAGTCGTGCCAGAAGTCCAAAAGGAAGAGCATCCTGGCTGTTGGCAGCGGCAGCATTAAGGTCAAGTTTGGGCAGAGTGATGCCAACCCCAACGTCAGCGACAGCAAGCACAGGGGTGCTGGTGTCCACCTGGAAAACCACGCCAGTGACCGGCGCCAAAAAAGCACCTGGCCGGAGAGAGGGGGAGGGGATGGGCACTACTACAGCTCCTCCATGGGCCACGAGCAGGGCAGGGCCACCACCACCCACAGGTCTGTTCTGAGCAGGAAGGAGGACAGAGAGAGCCTCCTGGACGATGCCAGCCAGAACCTGCCCGTGGACTTCACCAGCTTCCCCGCGCAGGTGGATGTGCCCAGGGACGGCGGGGACGCGCAGGACAGCGACCTGGTGCAGGCAGCCCGGGGCCTCAGCGACCTGGAGATCGGCATGTACGCCCTGCTGGGCGTCTTCTGCCTGGCCATCCTGGTGTTCCTCATCAACTGCGTCACCTTTGCTTTGAAGTACAGAAACAAGCAGGCTCCCTTTGAAGAGCAGGAGGGCATGAGCCACTCTCACGACTGGGTTGGGCTGAGCAACAGGACAGAGCTCCTGGAGAATCACATCAACTTCTCATCCCAGCAGGATGAACGAATCACAGCCATCGACAGAGGAGTGGACTACGAGGAGAGCAAATACCTCCTCAACACAACTGCCACCAAAAATATCAATGGACAGTCCTTCAGGTCTCCTGAGTCCACATTCAGCGAAGGGAAGGAACAGAAAAGTGAACCAACCACTTCTCCTACCTCCAAGAGGAAACGGGTTAAATTCACCACCTTCACCACCATCTCCTCTGACGATGGCTGTCCAACTGTCAACTCAATCTTGATGAGTAATGAGGATGACATTAAATGGGTCTGCCAGGATATGGACCTGGGCGAGTGCAAAGAGCTTAAGAACTACATGGAGAGGTTACACGAAAATGCGTAACGAGACACAAAAGACTTTTTTGGTTTGGTTTGTTCGTTTGTTTGTTTTTCACTCACCTTCTGCCTTTAATTTTGGGTAGTGGGGCAAAATGTATTCTAACAAGAATCAGCTGGTGGATAATAACTCAATGTAGCCCCAAGAAGCCACCCAAAAGCAGCTGGGAGAGCAGAGATCCTGGACAGCTGTTAAAATTCAAGTCTTCTCTGTGCTCAGAGATGGAAGTGAGAGATGTGTGTGGTTTTTTGATACACGATAACATGAAAAAAAACTTAGAAAAATAATACGGTCTCATTCTCTGTGCTTTCCCAGGAAATCAATAAATATAACAAACTCCAGTGCAGTTTGGATATTACAAAGCTCACACAGCTCTACTGTTCAATATTGCAAGCTTTGGTTAAAAGCAAAAGATTGGTCTCAGAATAAATAGTTCCATGAGAAGAGCATGTCATTCAGGCCACGTGCAGAGAATATCCATCCAGGAACATTAATTTAAAGCTGACAAAAACCAACAGTGTGAACGAAGCAGCTCCCAGAGCTGAGGAGTCATGAGTTTCCAAAGAGTCTGGAGGGGATAAAGGCGTAACTGGGCTGTTTACAAACCAGCATGCTTGCCTCCCAAGCACTGACAATGGATACACAGATACAGTTCAAACTGAAACTCTCTTTTTAAGTAGATGCCAAGGTAATTAACTTTGCCAGCCAATTTTCGGTATTTCTTAATTTGTAAAATAGGAGAAGATATGATCTATACTCAGACTATCACTCTTACTACGGAAGGTCTTTTGGAAGTTTGAGAGAATGAGCTATTTTTAAAAGCCCGCTTTGTTTGATTGTCCTGTTTTGGATTTGTATTCCCAGCCCTTTCCCTGGAGCTCCCCATCTGCTATCCTGAGGGCACTTCCCAGATCAGTCAGCCTTGGAAGCTGCGCTCCCTTCCCTCCCTTCCCTCCCGTGCACACTCACTCCTCCAGGGCTGCTCCTGCCGAGCACAGCCCTGCTGGTGCCACGCTGGCCTGGCCTTCCACGCTGGCCCTTCCCAGAGCTGGCCCCTGTCCCTGGCTCCGTGCCACGTGTGCTGAAGTGGCCACCACCAGCAGCTGCCTCTTGGTCCATCCCCTCCCCTGGGAGAGGGGGGGCTGGCCAGTTCCTTGTGCCCCCCTCTTAGCCCAGCACGTTTAGAGGGCACTGGGAGGTCACAGGGGAGAGCTGCACGTTCAGCACTGAACCCTGCACAGCTAAACTCAGCAGATAACATTTGTTTCTCCCAGGGGTGATGATTATCTTCTGTTTTCTTCTGATAAGGATGTACATACAGTAGGATTTCAGTGATTACCCTTCCAACCCGACGTGCCCCCAGCCTCAAACCAGGACATGTCTTGTGAGGTCCAACAGCAGCCTCCAATGGCCAGTGGCAAAGTGCCAAAGCACTAAATAAAATCCAGCTAATGGATTTTATATATAAAAGTATTTCAAGTTCCCCTTTTTTTTCTGGAGTAAGTCCTTGCCCCCTTTTTGTTAAGTCTTCCATCATTGAATCTAGGTTGCTCAGTTTAATACACACCCGCCCTCCCACAAACACTTAGATTGAATCCCTCTATATTTAGAATGTACTGTAGATTGTAAGAATGTAATATATATATTTATAAACATGCCAACTGTGAATAAAATTTGCATTTTAGTGGCTTCATCTTTTTTTCCTACTCCAAACGCCTCTTTCCTGTTGCTGTCAGAACGTTTACCCTGAGAGAGCCTGGCAGCAATACAGCCTTGAGTCCTTTGATGGATGCAGGAGGCACAATCTCCTCACAGAATGTACATTGGCAGTGCTGGGGGAGAACATGCAGCCCCAACAACGTGTCATGCTGCAGATGTATGTGCACCGAGTCACCCTTCCAAGGTTTGAAACTATTTGCCAATAAATCCACATGCTTCATTTCTAGCCTGAAAGGCCAACATGTGAATTTCTGGGTTTGGGGTCTGGTTTTCTCCTCTGGGAAGATCCACGCTTGGCTATTCACCTTTCAGGGGAGTAGGTGAGTAAACAGAGCAAATGTGCCCAACACTTTGGAGATCAGATTGTCTTTGCTTTCTTTCAGCACCTCTGCTCAAGGCTTGGATGACCCAGTGCAGGACGGGGTGCAGCAGTGCAGGACCAGGTGCAGCAGTGCAGGATGGGGTGCAGCAGTGCAGGACCAGGTGCAGCTGAGGACCCGACAGTGCAGGGTCCAGACAAGCTCTGGCAGAGCTCTCAGGTGAGGGAAGCAGCCTTGGTGCTGCAGCACAGCCTGGCAGCCTCCCCACAGGTCCAGCCCAGCCTTGCCTCCAGCTCTGGGGCTATTTTGGGTGCTTTTTGCACATCACAGCGTGGTGTCTGAGTGAGGCAGGCAGGCTGGCAGTGCCCAGGTGTCTCTGGAGCCCGAGGTGTGAGTGCAGGTTTGCCTTGCCAGTGTGGCAGAGCGTGGCCAGTGGCCCTGGGTGGGAGGAGCAGGAGCAGCCTGTGACACTGCTCTGCCCAGAGCTGCCCTGCTGAATCAGCTGCCTCTGGGCAACAGCAGCAGCTAACAGCGAGTTCCTCTGGCAGCACAAAGCACAGAAATGTTCTCTGAGGACAAACAGCCTCCAGCTGCAGCCCCTGAGGATGCTGACAGGCAGATCTGTGCCTGTGTGCTTGCTCAGAGCTGCCTGTGCATGCAGCAGCTGGAACTGGCCACTGTCCATAGGGCAGTGCTATAAATAATAAATATAAATATAAATAATGCAGTGTTTGGAGTGCTCTTTGCATGGACCTCCCAGTGCTCTGAGCAAGGTGTGCTCCTTACTGACCTGGGGAGCCCAGGGTGAGGTGATGTGTCCAGAGTCACTGCAAATCTGTGACAAACCCCACTGTGCAGGATGCTGAGAGTGACCTGTGGCCACCTGTATGCAGGCAAACACTCTAATTAATCTGCTAATAGCAGAATACATCGACTTCCTGTAGAGATTTTTGCATGTATGTATCTGTTGGGAGGGGGTGTTGTGTACATTCCCTTTTGGTGTTGCAAAACCCTCTGCACCTTGAGCATCCCAGGGAGGAATTCCATGTTTCAGCAATCAGCTGAGATCCCAGCTGGCAAACGTGGGACCTAAATCCTGTTCCTCATCATTAAAGCAGTGATGGTGCTGATGTGCTGCACACACAGAATGTTTTGCAGCTGTGGCTCCCACTGGCAATCTCTTGAACCTGATAAAGAGCCCTGCTGACAGCAAGCACTCTCCTGTGAGAGTTATTAATTATCTTATTGTTTTCTTCTGTGCAGTTGCCTCTTATTTTCATGTTTGAGTCTCTCTTCCTGTGAGTAGACTGATTGAGGCATGTTTAAAAAAAAGAAAATTTATCTGATATAGTTTGGTTCTTTTTAGAGACTTTATGCATGAATACAATCAGGAGTAGAAACTCAATGGTCCTATAAATCAGGTAAGCTGGTTCTTTACTCTCTTCTTTCATTTTAAAAGCTTCCCCTTCAGCAGTCTTAAATACATGGTGGTTTAGACCCAGCTGCATTAAACACCAGCGAGCTCAAAGTCTGAGCAATGCAGCTAAATAACTGGTTTGAAGCAGGACTTCTCTGGAGTTGACTTTAAAAACCAGAACAGGTATTAAATCTATGTGCAGCCTGCACCAAGTAGCTCTAGAAACTACTTTCACACCTCGTTTCTGTAATGAATGGGATGTAAGTGAAATGAGCACCCTGGAGACGCTTTCGTTCAGCTCCGTGTGTGCTCGGTTTCTCCAGGACTGCCAGCTCTCAGTCTGCTGTGGCCCCAGGGGCTGTTCTGCTGTGGCAGCTCCTCCGTGAGAGCTGAAGGACTCGTGCAGTACAGCCTGGAAGAGCCTTTCACACTGTCACTGGGGAGAGCTGGCTGGGCTCGGGTTGGTATTGATCAAAGTCCAGCAAGCATCACTGAGGAATTAGCTCGGGGAAGGAGCTATTGCTGCCAAATGGTGCAGTTAGAAAATGCCTCAAGCATTTAAAAAAACCTCCCAGAGATGAATTTATTTAGTCCTGAAAGCCCAGGAACTCTGTCACATATTTCTACATGTTCATTGTGGTGCCAGAGCCCATCCCTGCAGAGCCCTGCAGCCACACATCTGAGTGCCAGCAGAAATCAGAGCTGTCCTGCTGGCAGCCCTCCCCAGCGAGGGGCTCAGCTGGGGGAGCTGCCAGGGTGGCACAGGTGTGTCCTGCAGGGCAGGTGTGTCCTGCAGGGCAGGTGTGTCCTGCAGGACAGGACAGGGTGCCAGCTGAGCTCCCCACACAGCCCCAGCCAGCCCTCACTGCCCTGCCTGCCTGCAGCTCGAGCTGTCCCCTGAGGACAGCAGAGCTCTAAAGCAAGGCAGGGTATCCCTGCAAAGTGCTGAGGAGACAGGATTTGTGTTCTGCTTCCAGTTCATTTCTGTGTGAAAGCTCCCAGGTGGGCCCTGCCTGTGCCCTTACCCAGCCATCTGCTTAAGCACCTTTGTGAGCAGTGTTTGGCTGCCAGCACCCATCACCTTCCTCATGCAGAAATAATGTTTCCTTCCAGTGAAATCAGTGATGTGCTGTTTGGAAGCTTAAGCAGGTGAAGTTCCAAACTGGCAGCACTAATGGCCTGAGAAGAGCAGAGCACCTGGGCCCTGCTCCTCCTCAGGAGCATCAGAAGGGCCAAGGTTACTCGAGTCAAGCAAGTGTGCCTGAAACAGGATCATTTTCTACCTTCTTGCTGATGTGATATGAAGACCTCTGTCAACAAATGCTTCATTATGCAGGCTCCCTGCTCCAGCTCCGTGAGGAACAGCAAATTAAGCAGCCCACGAATGTAATATTAATGGCTGGAGCAGCAGCAGTGCTCCTGTGCCTGTGTGTGCTGCCAGTGCTCATTAGGAAATCCCCAGCACACGGCCAAGGGGGCTGCTGGATTGCACACGACAAGTTCTGCCACACGTCCCCCCAGCAGCAGGGAGCCTGCAGGGACACCAGTGCCCCGAGTCACGTTGGACTGCACAGCCCCAGCTCGTGGCTCCTGCTGAACTGCTCTGGGTGCACACGAGGGCTCCTG